ACATTATATCTAAGATTGAGCTTGAACATTATTATATTTTTTAATAGAATAAGTGGCATTCTTTTATTGTCAATCAATTTCACATTAAACCATATTTATCTATATACATTAACTCCTAATTAACATTTTATCTAAGATTGAGCTTTCTTCTATTAGTAATTCATTGGGTGGGATTTTTTCCCTCCATAATTCAGATATGCGAATGATATGCGATTTGTCGCACATTGTTCGCCGTGCTGCGAATAAAGGTTGGCAGGTCGCGTACCAATTACCATATTGGTTTATCCACAATCCAACCCAACTCAACCCAATAATAAAAAATTATTTCTCTCTCTTCCACCTACACAACCCAACTTCCAACAACTTTTATTTATTTTTTTTTTGTTGTCTTTTAGGTGGTGACCCCCCAAAATTTGAAAATTTTATTTTTTATTTTTTATTTTTATTTTTTATTTTTAATTTTTTTTTGTCTTTTAGGTGGTGACCCAGTAGGTTGGGTCACCAATAAAGTTAGTTTACACTCCCAAATCCAATTAAATGACAGTCTTCGGCGCATTAAAAACAATTTTTTTTATTTTACGTAGTATATGTGTTTTTAATAAACAGATATGCGAAACAGATTGCAATTTATTGTCAATACGTACTGCGACTGAAATGCGATTCATCGCATTTTGTTCGCAGTTCTGCGAATTTGAAGAGTCGCCTCTTCTCCGAAACGTCCCCTCAGTCTTCGGCGAATAATAACGGCGCGCATACCAAGGAAATCATTTATTTATTGTCAATACGCTATGCGAATGAAATGCGATTCATCGCATTGTGTTCGCAGTTCTGCTAATTTGAAGAGTCGCCCTGAAACGACCGGGGGCCTCGCACGACGGGCTATTAGCTCAGTGGTAGAGCGCGCCCCTCAGTCTTTGGCAAAATTAATAACGGCGCGCGTATCAAGGAGGATAGATATCTTCTTTAACCAGATATGCGATTGTCAATACGTTATGCGAGTGAAGTGCGATTCATCGCATTATGTTCGCACTGCTGCGAATTTGAAGAGTCGCTCCGAAACGTCCCCTCAAATTAGTAACGGCGCGCGTATCAAGGAGGATAGTTATCCTCATTAGTCCTCTATAAAAGGTACCTAAGATGAGATATTGAATTATAGGATCAGGACCCATCTTCCAATTCTTTAACTCTCGATTTTCCTCAACATGCCGGTCAATGAAGTTTCTTCGTTGTACAGACTTGTTGAGGAAAATTAAAGGTCGAAGAATTGAGAGATGGGTCCTGATCCTCCTTTTGTCTTTGAGGGTGCGCTCCCTTTCATTGTCGTAGCCTCCTCAATCTAGTATACCTCGGAAGTCCAAGCACTCGCCCTAGAGATCCCACGTCTGCCTAGGCACATGGTCACCTCACATTGAAAGCTAAAAACATTGGAAGCTGATGAAAAAGCTGTTGGTGACCATGTGTTTGGGAAGACGTGGAATCTCCGGAGAATTTCTTGGTCTTCCGGGGTTTACAAGATTGAGGAGCCTACGACGGCGAGAGGGAGCACGCCTTCAAAGACAAAGGTTCTT